CCGATCAAGTCATTCTTCCATAACACTAGCAAAGCTTGTCACCCAACAAACACACTTTGTCACTCACACAACGATGACCTAAAACACGAACAACAAGTAGCATTATCTAGTGTTTAGAATTCACTGCAGTATATGTTACATGATCCATGTTTACATTACGGTACAAAATTTGCTCTAAGTTGTCCCTTTTTGGATAGAAAGTGGCAATGAAAGTACCAGCTATGTCTAATTGTTTTGATAGTATTTCATTTTTTAGATTTGGAATATATTTCCGTATGGTATTACTGTTGAAAATGTAGCAAATTGCTGTCTGATTCAGTTGTGTATTAGGTTTTGAACTTAAGTTTAACAATACAGGCAAATTGAGGTTTTGTTGTGATTATGTCTGAGTAAGAAAGAAATTCATCTAAACTGAAAGATGTAGTCGTTGAATGTATTTTGTGCCAAAGCAGTGGAGAAATAGATTCTAGCAATTAAAAAACTGTAATATCAAGATCGTTATGGTTTTATTTCACAAGCAAGTAGTTGGATGGAAAGAAGGGAATGGCTAAGCATTAAAAAGTTGCTGTTTTGAACTGTTTTGAAGGATTTTGCCAAATTTCCGTGCTCTTTGGGTTTGTGACATTTTTGAATGGCACTCTGAATATTATAAGATGCATTGACAAAGTAGATTTACAAAACTAGATACAGCTACAAGATGTGGAGATATTTTCAGTTATAGTAGTGCATGAATTTTGTTTGATGGCTGTGTGTGTGTGTGTGTGTGTGTGTGTGTGTGTGTGTGTGTGTGTGAAATATAGCATACTAACATACAGAATACAACACACACATGACCAGTAAGCAGACATTCAGTACGTTATACTATTTCACGGCAGGCAATATAATAGGAAATACCATAATTCAGATAAGAAATTATAAATTAGAGGAAAGACTAGTGGAAAAAATACCCAGGATTGAGACCTAAAGATAAGCGAGGCTTTGTGGAAATCCCTGCAATTAAGTCTGAAGTAACTTTATGACAGAGTGATGTTGTGTTAGTTCTCAGATAAACGTTGTAAAAACATTGTTTCCTTATGAGAAAGTGGTGCAGAAGTGAATGCTGTATAATGCTGTTTAGAAATACATTTTGCAACTATATCTCTCTCGTGTCTGTTTCTTTAGCATCTCCAAGGGCAGAGTCTGGCTCAGTGAGGACCTACTCCTGTTGAGGGACTGCAAAGGTGAGACAGAACTAGCTAGCTTTAAATGATTTAAATAAACATTTTTTAATTATATATATTTATTTTATATTATTGTAAACCATTCAAAACAAATATAAATATATTTGCCAACCAGACTTTCTAAATCTAAAAAGCTACATTTTTTCTGAACAGAAAAGGATAAAGAGAAAAGTATGTCATGGAAGTATTTAATGACCATGTGTGGGCAGGGCCCCCAAAATTTGCGGTACACCACTGCCAATGATTACCTTCTGCATGCTGATGCATGTAAATACACAAATCTCGAGAATTTGCTCATTTACAAGTTTGACTGAAGCACTTTTAGCATTCTGTTGGGTTTCCTTGGGTTGCTATGACAGAGTAAGACACCTCCATATTTTGCATGCCCTTTATATGTCTGTCGTTAAAGGGGTCATATGATGCGATTTCAAGTTTTCCTTTCTCTTTGGAGTGTTACAAGCTGTTCGTGAATAGATAAGATCCCTAAAGTTGCAAAGACTAAAGTCTCAAACCCAAAGAGATATTCTTTATAAAAGTTAAGACTGGTCCACGCCCTCCTAAAACACCTCGTTTAAACACGCCCCCACATGTCTACGTCACGATGTGGGAAGATTTGCATAACGCCGCCCAAATGTTCACGCAAAGAAAGAAGGCGTAACTTTATTGTTGCTGCCACCGCCTCCGCCATGTTGTGAAGACGCTGTGTGTTTCATTGTGAAAGCGAAAATACTTTGTTTGGCCTTCCAAAAGAGGACACGACTAGAAATCAGTGGTTAAGTTGTATTTACAACACTGTTCCAGAACAGTTCATCCCAAATATTCAGATGTGTGCAGCGCATTTTATGGAGGACTGTTTCCTGATCCAGGTAACAATGCCGGCTGTTCTGACTCAGAGACTTTAAGTACGTTTTCATGCCTCGGCGTGGCAGAGTCTTAACTTTGATAAAGAATATCTCTTTGGTTTTGAGACTTTAGTCTTTGCAACTTCAGGGATCTTATCTATGCACAATCAGCTTGTAACACTCCAAAGAGAAAGAAAAACTTGAAATCGCATCATATGACCCCTTTAAGTCCTTCATACATAAACACCCCTCATTTGTTCATTTACAATAATGTTTCAGCTATCAATAGTGTAATACTTCCAGCTCATTTAACACTTTTAGCTGGTTTAAAATGCACAATTTCTCCCAAATTCAGATCAGAAAAAAATTAAAAAACAGTCTGCAGATTCCATCTGTATGGAAGCCCATTTTCACCACACAGGGGGAAAAAATTATCCACTGGTAAATTATATATATGGCATAAAAAGTCATAATTATGACATTAAATGTAATAATTATGAGGAAAAAAATGTTTAAATTATGACATACCAAGCTGATTTTTTTTTGTCATGAAGGATTTTAGTAATAATTATGACAACTCATAATTTAGACTTTTTTTTGGTCAGTTAATCCATGAACATGATTTCTGCCCGAGTCCCGTCAGATTGCATCGGCTGTGGGGATGAAGACGACAACTCCCATGATTCCACACTCAGTCACGGCATCATCAAACTACACCTTTTTCTATTTGTTTATTTTGAATATGCGCCCTCTAGCGGCGAAAATTACATATTGTGCCTTTAATATTTCATAAATTCGTCATAATTATTTCGAAATAAATAATTTTTGTCATAACTCATAATTTCAACTTTTTATGTCAATTACGACTTTGTATGTCATAAATTCAACTTTTTATTTTATAATTATGCCTCAGTGTATCAGTTTTCCAACTTTTCATGTCATAATTACGACTTTTTATCTCAGTTTTTACTTGCATCATTTTGTCTTTATCTCAGCTACGGCTTATCTCCGTTACAACATGATTGTTTTCTTATTTGGTGGAAATCGGCTTCCATAATTTGGTCTTTACTGATGAACTTCAGTACACGAAATGGTGACGATGTGTTGTAATTCTGTCTCTCGCACACAGGAGGCGCTGTTGTCAGAGAGCTGGAACCGGCTTTACATTTCATTCACGGGGAGGAGGGGTGATAAGCAGAAAAAAAGCAATGAATATATACATTTATAAATATAACTCTACTGGTCTGACCATTCTGCAATAACAGAAGAGGGATGGAGAAAGAGAAAAATAAAGAGCAAAAAAAGGACAGAAGACATGAAGAATGTATGACACAAGAGAGTGGTAAGAAATGGGATGGTTGGAGGAATCGGATGACTGTTTATTCTTTCTTTCTGTCGTTCTCTCTTCTCACTTCCTGTGTCTGTGCTGATGGGACACCTGTAGATGAACTCTCTTGTCTTTCCATCCTTCGTTTCAATGGCAGCCCTAGTTCCTCAGAATGGCTTTCGTTGACTGCCTGCAATTGGTCTCTCAAGTCTCTCGATAACAAAGGATGTTTGTGGCAACTCAACCTGGACTTCAGGGATGTTTACATATGGTAAGGTTCAGAGGAAGTACTTAAGAGCACAGTCGAGGGGCCAGGCTGTGTGAGGCCAAGACTTCGCTGTATGTGTTTCTCAATCAGTACAAGCTGAGAAAGACCAGTGAGCAGCGAGAGCTACACGTGAGACTGCAGAGGGCACAATTCGGGGAAAACAAGTGAGAGAAAATGTTTAGCTTCTGTGTTGCGATGCATGTCAAACAACCAAGACGACAACGAACTAAACTTTTCGGGGAATAAGACAATATGAAGTTAAAAATAAAAATTATGTGTACATTAACATATGAGGTTAAGAGCTTGGGGAACAATTTGTAAAATGTGTGTATTTTCCTTTTTATTTTTATTATAACTATTTATTTTCTTTATGTAAGTATTGAATAACTATGTACATGTTCATTTAATAATTCTGACTGTAATTTAATTTTATCTAGTTTAAAGCGTAAATATGAAATATGAAAAACATGGTCATTAAAATATGCTACTTGTATGTGTACATTTGGACAAAATTGTGCTATGATTTAAAAACAAACCATTACTGTTGATGAGGATGACAGTGATTCAAATTGAAAATGATGTCTGCAAAATAAACAATAATGATAATGATGAAAATCAAAATAAAATAAAGCGTTCCTAATGGCACTAAAGAGTTCAGCGTGCTCGTGATTTTGAGATGCTAATTTGTGTGCGAGGTGAGATTTGTTTGAATTCGACGACTGCAAATCAAAGTACTTCCTGTTTTTTAATACAAAACAAATAGAACTACAATCATATATTCATATATCCACTTTGTATTTTACCAAAGCACCTCTCGCTCTTCCATCTACTTTGTAAAAATAATTCATATACAAAAGTATCTACCTTACAAAGATTACATAACACTTTATTACAATGACTCAAATGTGAAAAATGACATCAAACCCTGTGTACTGACTTCCACAGCTTTCTCAATACAGTAACCAGGAAACTGGACTACAGTTCATTTCATCCAACACTCTTTTTTTTTTTTTGACTGTATTTCTGTAACATTTGCTGAGTGAACAGTACATGGGTGAACCATTGTACCAAAATGTAGCTGACACTGAAACCAAAGAGGCTTATGTTTTGGGACAGGCATTTGAAGGACACTTACGAGAAAGCCTACAAATTCTGCGGACCACTAAACAGCTTCATTGTTTTTGGTTATTATAAATACACTTTATATTTGCATGATGTATATGTTTCACATATTGTACATTTATAAAGAAATATATTAATATCAAGTACTTAGGCTTACATACTAATTCAAAAGTAATAACTTATTGTCTGTATACTATAGAAACAATAGAACAAATGCAACAATATATGAAAAGTAGGGAAAAAACAGGATCTCAGTATTGAGGTTTTCTTGTTTGTGTGAGTTTAGACGTGGATATGGACCGGAGGAATGACAGCAGTGTGGAGGAACTCATCGTCACCTCATATCACTTCAAACCCGTACAGTGTTTCATGAAACACAAAATAAGTTACAGTGAATGCACCTAGGAAAAAAATGTGAAACAACCTCATCCTCACATGACTTGAGAAGATATCGTCAAAGACTATATATTATTACCCAAGACAGTTCACTTGTATTGCTATGAATGGGCAAAACTGCAACAGCTCTAGTAATCTAGTAAGTCTCACCGTCTAAATTAAAGAACCATTGGAATCTCCATTTCTCACATAAATCTGAGACTTGCACTTGGGACTGTGCATAAGCAGGACCAACCTTAAATATTTGCTTAAATATATGCTTTTTTTATGCTATTTGAGCTTAAGAAACAGCATTGATGGGACAGTTCATGTCAGATTTGATTGCTGACTTGAAATATGTTATTTAATTGTGAGTTTGGCCATTATTTTCTAGGGTTTCAGTATTTCCCCCATTCACATAGATAGGAGATGGGCTTACATTCCTTAAATACCCACCTGGAAACATTGCAAATATGGCTGAAGAGTGATCTGAATTTCCTTAAAAGGGACTTTGATATAGTCCATTCAACCATGGCCCACTTTCATGCAAGTCACCAGAATTTGTTGTATGAAATGCACTAAATATGTAATATTTGGAAACTTAAGCCACATTTAAAAAATGTATAAAGGTTTTTGCATTATATGTGAAAATATCAAAACAAGAGGCATTTCCTTTAAAGAAACAGCATAAGCACACTTTTGTTATCGGTCTATGAATATTGTTTAAAATGAAGACAAAGTCCTTCTGGGAGTCAAACTGTGGGTAACATCTCATATGCTATTACAATGAACTACAAAGGCAGTTATTCTGCCAGGAAACCTGCATAAACTTGAGGAGAACTGACCTCATACATATTGGTTGGAAAAGTGTCTCAGAAAAGTGAAAAGCTCTAGCATTATTTGGTTGCAGATGCCATTTTGCCAGTATCTAATGCAATGAAATTCTAACATGTTTAAGAGTGACTTGGTGTCCAAAAGCTTTACCACTCTATCCATTTGTGTTCCACAATAGAAAATCATTCATACAGGTTTTGAGCAACACGAGGGTGATTTCCATGACTATCCCTCAGCGAGACACTGGGGTACAGCTATAAGGTTCTGTTGAGTGAGACGCGGGAACATCTGGAAAAGAAATATCCCCCACACAGTGGACCAGAACAGATACAGTCCCTCAAACATTCAAAATTCACATGATCTTTCAACTCCGTGTCAATCCTTTGTTCAGACAGTCCAAGCTAGCTGTACCTTCTGCCTTCTCGCTCTCTTCCTCTCTCAAACTTCTTAGTGTTGTACGTTCCTCTAGTGAGCAGCACGCAAACGCAGGAGGAGTCGATACGGATCCACCTCCATCCTATCCTCTTGTTTTCATCCGAGGCGAGCGCGCGTACGTACGATTGTTTGGTTTCGCACCTGCTCATCCAGTGTTTCTTATCCACCCCCAAGCAGCCGGCCCCCTCCACCGCCTGCACTTCACCTTTACTATTTGGATCTGGCTTACGGCACTTTGTTTCGTAGAAATGCTGCTTGAGCGGCCCAGTCTGGGTCTGGATCTCTTGCAGAATAGTGACGGTGTTGCTCAGAAAGTCCACCGCGGTCTTCTTGTTGGTCACCCACCTGCTTTCGGCCTCACATACGGAGCGTGCGATGCCTTGTGTGCTGTGGACGGCTTGACGCTTGCGGCGGACACTTGGAATGTGGCCATCAGAATCAGAGAGGCCCAAGAGTAAGTTCCTGTAAGTTTCTTTGTCGCCTCCGTGAGCAGACGGGTTAGCATCCATCATGTGACTTTCCTCATCTTTAACGTCATCGGCCAAAAAGCCCAACTCCAGCATTAAGAGCAGAGGTGGGTGTTTGGGTGGGGAAAGGGCCGGGGAGAAATGTACCCGTGGATGGGCGTCCAGCAAAAGCAGCTGATCTTCTTCTCGTAGGCCTATGTCATCAAACCCAAAGCCTGGTTCTGTTCCAAACCCTCCATATTGCTGCACCAACTCTTTAGCATTGGTGCTCCCAGTTGTTTGAGCTTCGTCCAGATGTTCCTGCACTGGAGAGCTCTGCAGAGAGACCTTAGGACCTTCAAGAGGCCCGTCTCTCAGTTTACTTCTTGCGTTCCTGTCATCTTTAAGAAAAGTCTCTGCCTCAATACTGTTTTCTTCATGAAACTGGCTACTTTCAAGCTGATAGTCCTTGAGAATATCATTGCTTTGGGAACTGGCTTTTTCAGCCAGTATTTGTTGTGATTTGTATTTCCTAGGATCATGCGGCCTGGAGGCATCTGCTCCGGTAGTCCTACCTCCACCTGTGTAGTCCTGCTTTGTGTTATTGACAAAACTGTCTTCTATTAGAAGATTCTCTCGGTTTGCTCTATCTTTGGCTATATGGTCCTCCTCAAACGTGCTCTGCTTATCGACTGTTCTGTGAGGAGCTATGTCATGTGTGCTGTAGTTGTTGTGAGGAACAGCATCATGGGAGTCGTTGTCCACTGATGAGTTGGTCGGCATGCTGATGTTAGCTGTCGGGACGTTGCTGCTGTTGCTGTCGTTCCTGCCAGGCTCTATCGTCGCGGCAACAAGCCTGGGCACAGGACTTTGAGGGAAAGGCAGGGCCGAGGCGATCACCATGGCAGGCTCTGCAGAGAGACCTTCGGACCTTCAAGAGGCCTGTCTTTCAGTTCACTTCTTGCGTTCCTGTCGTCTTTAAGTAAAGTCTCTGCCTCAATACTGCTTTCTTCATGAAACTGGCTACGTTCAAGCTGATAGTCCTTGAGAATATCATTGCTTTGGGAACTGGCTTTTTCAGCCAGTATTTGTTGTGATTTGTATTTCCTAGGATCATGCGGCCTGGAGGCATCTGCTCCGGTAGTCCTACCTCCACCTGTGTAGTCCTGCTTTGTGTTATTGACAAAACTGTCTTCTATTAGAAGATTCTCTCGGTTTGCTCTATCTTTGGCTATATGGTCCTCCTCAAACGTGCTCTGCTTATCGACTGTTCTGTGAGGAGCTATGTCATGTGTGCTGTAGTTGTTGTGAGGAACAGCATCATGGGAGTCGTTGTCCACTGATGAGTTGGTCGGCATGCTGATGTTAGCTGTCGGGACGTTGCTGCTGTTGCTGTCGTTCCTGCCAGGCTCTATCGTCGCGGCAACAAGCCTGGGCACAGGACTTTGAGGGAAAGGCAGGGCCGAGGCGATCACCATGGCAACCAGGGGAAGCCAGTGCATCACTCCCAAGACGTGTCAACTATGAATTGATAAAAAAAAGCTAGAATTAGAAAGCGCTTAAAGAGGAAGAACTGTGGAGTTAAGAAGACATCACAAATATTTACTTTGGAATGTTTAGAATGTTAAGAAAAAATGTAGGGCGGGACTTAGTTCTTTCCAATGGTTGTTGATTGGATGGAAGCAGATCTGAATACAAGCTCGCTGTTCATTGTAAGAAAGTGATGGGGTTTCTGTGGACTAAATTACTGGAAAAGTCCAGCATACGTCACCAGAGAGAAGTCTGTTGTTTCACCAGAAGATCATTTGAAACTTTGATTAAAAATTACACACAAAAAAAACAAATTAAAACGAAATATGCATTTTGAAAATAGATGGTTTAATTTTATGCTGACTTCAAAATAAAATATAATGTTACATTGCAAGATATATAATCACAACTGGGAGATCAAATTTGCAATGCATACTTTTTCCATTGTATACTTTTTTACTCTGACGCGGAAACAGGTTTTCAGAAGAACAGGCTCATTGCCAGCTCATAAAAATAAGGTAAAATAAGCCTAAAACTGTAAAACTATAGCTTTACAGCTTTGGCATATGCTAGTGGAAAAAAGATGCAAAATTCCAAGCGGCAGATTCATGTCCCTGTGTAGAGGGAGAGTGGAGCCACAAACTTGCTTCACTATCGCCTGCTCCGGTTGGTCGGCACAGACATGAAGTCACCGGCTAGTCGACGTCTGGCAAAGCTCTGTTTGAAATAAAGCCACTAACAGTGTTGGTCTGGTGCTGGCCTAGTTTCACATGAGACCACAAACAACTCTGGTATGTATGGAAAAGGTTGTAAATTTCACAGATTAAAAGCATGACTGAGGCAAACTAAAAGATGCCACTTTACTGTTTGAGCCAAAGAATATATAAATAAAAGAAGGTGATGTTGCTTTGGGCCTCAAATGAATGCTAATTTCATCATCTTTTATGATCTTTTTTGTCCTATATCCTTTTTCCATACGTTTGACCTGATGATCCCATATTCACACACTTCTGTAACATGACTCTCAGCAGTACTGAGAATACCTCAGATTTAGGTTATTTATTGACAGGAACGTCAAAGTTCAGCAGTCGTCTACCTAAGACAAGCACCTGGGCGGTTACTGGCCCAGTGGAGGTGATTTATGTGTTTATTTAGTGGGGGTTCGAGTAAAACTACATTGATGGATGATACACTCTCTTCCTTTTACTTTCAGCACTCAGTGAGCAAACACACTGTCAACCACCAGGTGGAAGCAAAACCACCACATCAAAAATTATAAATGTGCCTCATCACTGGCACTTGTGCAGTTTTTTTTTTTTGTCACATTGTACAATCAAAATAATATTTATATATGAAAGTTGTGAGGAGAGGGTTGAAAAGATTAATTCATTACAGAAACCAAAATATCATCAAACAATATATAACATACCCACTACTGTGCGTGATCAAGATTTTTTCCCCCTTTTTATAGTCTCTTCTGCTCCTTGAGGTTGCATTTTGATTAAGGGAACAAAAATACAGCATTGTATTAATATTGTGAACATTTATATTGGAATGTGTTTTAAAATGTAATGTATTCCTGTGATGGCAAAGCAGCCATTACTTCAGTCTTTAGTGTCACATGATCCTTCAGAAATCATTCTAATATGCCGATTTTGTGCTCAATTTGTGTTGTGTTTTGTGGAAACCAAGAGTCATATTTTTTTTTTCAGGATTTTTTGATGAATAGAAAGAATTAAACTTGAACCATTTATTTGAAATCTTTTGTAACATTTATTTGTCTTTACCATCAATTTTGATCAATTTAATGCATCTATGCAGAAAAAAAAAATCTTGAAAAATCTTACTGACCCCAACTTTTGAACGGTAGTGTATATGGAAACAATTTATACTAAATGTATACAAAAATTAGTGCAAACTACATAAAGCATGTAAGACATGAGGTGTGATGCTCTTAACAGCAACACAACTCAAAAACATCTTAAAATTGATCAAATTTGCTTTTTAGCAAGTATTTGACAAGAAAAATGTGACCACACAGACCTAGAGTGTGTTGTCTTGCTGATGATACAGTGAGGGATGCAGTCGAACTGTCCATTGTTAAGGCCAGGTGTAAATTACTCACCAATCCTGTTGTTGCTGTGCTGAGAGATGAGGGAGACGCATTTAGAAAGAAAGAGAGTTCAAGAAAAGAAGAATGCTCAGAATGTCAGAAATGTGGCTTCAACCGAGAAAACTCCTCCTGGGTTTCCCCAGGCGGGACACGCTAGAATGAAGGAGGGGGCCGAGGGCGAGTAAAGCCAGTGTACGCAGAGTCAAGTGACTCTTCTTTTGAGAAGAGATAATCATTAGACTCATAGGGAGAGAGTGGGTGGACAAGAAGGTTGTGTGTGAAGTGCAAAATCACCACTTGTGATCCTCATAATAACAGCACCCCACCCCGGACACTGTTTTCTAATAACACTCAAGCCAAACGAACACACTCATACACAATGCACAACTAAGCCTGCGGTCACAAGCAGGGAAGGAATGCCACCAAGTCCATACATATGCATGCCGGGACATGGAGCACTATATGTATAAGTGCTTACTTCCTGTTTACGTTCAACATAGGAATAGGTGTGCTATGTGCAAATGAGGCTCTATTGTCTTTTAAATGCAAATATTCTTGCTTAAAGGGGCTGTGCGTAAGATGAAGGTATTTTTGCAGAGAGATTTACAGTCTTGTTCTTTCACTACCTCTAATGTTGACAGAATCATATTTTATGCATCTAAAACGCCTTCATACGGTCTCACAAACTACAAAATGCCACATACAATATAAAAACAAGAGTCACTAAATCACAGCATGTTGCTGACAGCTGAAATGAAGTTACATATATGACCATATGAAAGAATCAATATTTAGATATTATTTTACAATATTTAGATAATGTTCAATGACAAATGAGTCCAATAAAGGACAAACCTAGTTTAAAACACACAAGGCAAGTTCTTAGAAATGTAATCTTCGCACTCATGTTGGTTTCAGATGGTTTCGAAATTCTTTTTCTCCATTTTCAAGAAGTTTAAATTTAATTATGTAATGTAACCATCAAATAAAAAGTACTAAATTATTTTCTATACACCTCAAATATGTGATTATATACATATGAATCTATATTAAAACACATTTAAATTAGTTAATGATAATGATTATCAAAACACATTTTTTTAATATATATATATATTTTTTTATTATTATTTTTTTTTTTTATTGAGTTCCCGCCAAAATCAGTATTGTATCTGGTCGGTATTGAAAAGTCGCAAATCGCAAAATGCGATATCCGCCATGCAATTCTGTCATGTTTCTCCCTATCTTTCCAAACTATTTTTTTATTATTATTTTTTTTAATATATATTCATAACAATATCAGTTTTTAGTAGTCACACTACATGGCATTTTTCAACCTGAACCAATCTTGCCTTGTCATAAAAAGCTAAAATTATGTTTTAAGATACTTACTGACCTTGAAACACATGAGGGTTTTTTTTTTTTCATAAATTAAAAAACATGCTCAACATAGAACTCTATTCAAATTATTTTATGTATGAACTGCATTTTTACTGCATGAAATTAACAGATGAAAGATTGCCCCCCAAAAATGACTTATTAACAGAAGTTACAAGTCAAATAAAAGCATTTTTCATGGTTGAAGGCAGTATGTGTGTGTGTGACCTGAGAGGAAGACTTGCCGGTTAATGCTTTGGAACGGGAACACAAGCAGTAGGCAGACAGATAACACGTGCAGGAGGCATATCTGTAGACTAGGGCTGGACAATAATTCAATATCAATATGTATCGCGATATAATTTTTTTCAATAACGGTGATATGATTTTTAAACACATTTCCGATATTTCGATATACATTACCAGTTTCCCATACATTGATTTATTTGTGCCGTTTGACTTCGTTGAATAAACATGAGCACTGCACGTTTCAAAATCATAACACGGCGCGGGTGTTTTATATGAATGTATCTCTGAAGGGAAAGGACTGTCTTCAGAAAAGTTTCGATGGCATTTTCATTTGATCTGATAAAGAAGCGTTCATGAGCGGAGCTGCTTTGATTACAGCCATTACTGGAGAAACCGCTAGTTCTATCACTCTAAAAGCGCCTCCTGCTGGCAGAGAATCAGTTTTCATTTTAAATAAGCCCGTCTCCAGCAACATTTCCAGTTTTTGTTGTTCAATTTTTTTGTTTTCTGCAGCGACTCGGAGCACTTTTCATACCCTTTTTTCTGGCTGAAGCACATTTGTTTCAATCTATAAGAATAATCAGGGAAAGAAATTATAGAAATTATACTTTTATTTAGCAAGGATGCTTAAAATTGATCAAAAGTGATGATAAAGGCATTTATAATGTTACAAAAGATTTCTATTTCAGATAAATAGTGTTCATATCGATATCGGAATTATATCGTATCGACCGAAATTAAGAAATATATTGTGATATCAATTTTGGCCATATCGTCCAGCCCTACTGTAGACGCTGGGTGATATGCAGAACCACTCAATCAGTGCGCTCCATTTGCAGCAATGACATGCTTCACGAACTCTGCCATCCAGAGTAGCCCTGCACTTTCTCTCCTCACCTTACGCACAGCTCAAAAATGAGCCTCCAGCCTCACATAAAAAACTTCAAGCTCCTGAACACAATGAACCCGCATGTTTAACCTGAACTTATACACTCAACCTCACAGGAACCTGTGCACACACATCCACACATATCTTTGATCTGACCCACTACTCTCACCCCCATGACAAGCGTAATCTGCGATCTTCTAGACAAAAGCCAGACAAACACTTTGGCTCTCCCACCTCTCGGCTTCACGCCACCGAAAACTTTAAACCCGCTTTATAAATAATCTCTTTCTAAGATTTTTCACTGGAAATCAGCCAGGGGATCCACTACCACTTCATGCTGTCACACTAACAAGCCTGTCAAATCAATTATTGCAGATGTATGGTCTTTATTATTTATCCTCTCCAATCCGAACAAAAGCGTGACTCATGATAGACATTCTACAATCCCCCTGTTCAGACTTGACGTGACTGACAATTTTGGAAAATCGTCCCACTCAGCCTATACACTCGGCCATAAGCGTCCAACGCAGCACAGTCTGAACTCCCATATCATAAAGAATTGAAAATAAAATAAAACAAAGACACAAGTTTAAAATCAAGTTAAACAGATCATGTCATGACAAAATAGATAATCCCAGGCAAATAATAAGGAAGAGGATTCAAAATTGTTCAAAAATAAAGAAAGATTTGTATAGTTCCCTAATTGTGTCACTTTAGTTTGTGTGGATTTATGAAGATGTCTTTATTGCAGGCTTTGCAATTAGGCTTTAATTGAAGGATGGGGCACTGCCAACTATATAATATATGTTGATATGGAAAGTTTACATTGGAGTTTTAAAGCTACGAGTTAAAAAAAAATAGCCTGATTAAGGGTCAGTCAGATGGTACACAATGGTTGTGTAAAACTAAATTATGAATTATAATTAAAACTCTTGGGTAAAAGAAAACAAAAAGCTAAAAAAATATTTGACCTCTTTAATATTAGTTTAAAAAAGAAAGAAAAAAAAGACACCTTTCCTAAAAGACGCTGCACAAATTCCCTCTGTGGGGGGGGGGGGAAAAACATTTTCTTGGCAGACAATGCTTATTATTCCAAGACAAACATAACTTGACCCTCCTCTTTCTCATAAAATCATTTACATAAATCAGCATACTGTACAGATGTTTCTGATCAAAGGCACTGTGTTGCAGTTGAGAAATCAGTAGCTTAAACAAATCTGAAAATGGCTACCACACACTGAGCGACACATTCAACTCTTTACACTTTAGGATAATCTCCATCCACACTTTCCCACTTTCTTTCTGAGAAAGTACTTTGGTCTGCTTCAGATCCTGCCTGGATAAATGGAGGAAGAGTTCACATCTCTCATAAATACCTGTAGGTTTTTTTCTCACTTGGTCTGTCTCAATGGCTCCCCACCCCACCCCACCACACCACACTTTATGTGTTACAGGGGTGAGAAAATAGTTACATAAACATTCATTATGTAGTAAACAAAGGTTGTGAGCTTCTGTTTTCGTTTCTGTTTTTATAGGCTAGCTGGGCAGGTGACTGACAGGATGTGCATGTGTGTTAATTCTTGTTTTAATGGCTGCCAGCTCCCACCCTTTAACTCCTTTACTGTGAAAACACATTAGCACTGACAAACTACTACTCTCGTATAGATCTACATCCATGTGTTTTTACAACCTTCCTCCAAAGGATAGTCCCTGTAATATTACACAATAAAACGATGTGGATTATTTAAGATATCATTCTGAGGAACGAAACAGTAAATGCAAAAACAAAAACACACCTACTGTGTATCTTAAACAGCATGTTGGACTGACTTCAGAGACCTTCTTCCGAGTTACGCAGGCAGACAGGTAAACAAATATCAGCATGCAAACACCTGGTCAGCACCTGAACTGACAGCTGAACGCGGACGCACTGGACAGCGAAGAGCGTCGACTGCACGCGAGTGATTCGCTTGAGGCTAGTGTTGAACAATATGAGATCAAACATATTTGGTCTTTCGCCAAAACAGTTTTCAGTCATCTCTTTCGGGGCCCAAGGGAAGCGCTTCTCACGATCGTTTTAAGTTCGACTAGTAATGAGTCCAACTCATTACATTTTTATGAATCGGTTCTTTCGAAGAAATGGTTTCCGATAAAAAAAACCGCTGTTTAAATTACTGTACGTGATGATGGGGTCTCATATTACTTATATTATATTATTATTGCTTTAACCGGTTCAGCAAAAACTGTACATGTCCAGACAAATTGCTGTTTATTGAAGTTCTTATTGCAGTTTAAATTATTTTTAATACAAATGTTTATTGTGGTTTGTCGTCCAGTTGCAGCCATGATTCAGCTCATTACATAATTTACCTATGTAATTTGCAATAAACAATACTGGAATGTATCTACATCACCTGGCTTGAAAGGATGTTTTAATAAAATGCTGTTAAAACCTGCTGTTTTGGTACTACATACCATCAAGCTCATGCATCGAAAGAGACTCGGTGCGAACGAATTATTTTGAGAACCGATTCATCCGATTCATAATAAAGATTCGACTCAAGTGAACGATTCATTTGCGTTCGGCTTATTCCAAAGCTTGACAACCTGTCAACGAGTCCGATCAACACCTGCTTCACATTAAATTAACTGTTACGAAAATGAACCCAAATAAACCGAATCTGTCATTAGTCCACTTTAGATGTTATCAGCATCGGAAGCGTATGATTAGTGGACATTATACCTGTAGTAGGATACGCTAACATTAAAAAAAAGTGTCTTTAAAAACACGCAGCACCTACCGTTTAGGTGAGTTTCGGGCCACACGTATCTTCGGCGAACACCACATTGATTCTACAGTCCGTCAGTCTCACGCAAAAATTAACGAAATGTCCAGAAGAACTCTCGGTTCACATAGTTCAAACTTCAGAAGTCTCCCATATCATCTCCGGAGTCCAGTCTGAGAAGCTCCACGTCGAGTTGTATTTCCACGTTTATCTGTTTTCCTCGCGCGCGACTCTCTGGTGGATTTGCATGCAAGCGGTGAACATCCAGAGCAATAATGCACCTCTGACACTGCGTGTATGAGCGGCAGCTCTACTTTTCCACAGTCAGACCACAAATCGCCGACTTTGAGCTGTAAATGAGAGACGTTTAATCTGAAATAAAAGTTTATTAAGTGAATGCAGAAATTCCCGCGGCGAGAAGGTCTGAGTGCTCAAGTCGTGCGGTAAGGTATCTTCATGAAAGGCGGTGAGGGGACAACAGCCAGTGGGAGTGAAAGAGGGCTGGTTTAGAAGAAGAGGAATGGACAGAGTGAAAGAAGACATTATGGTGGAGGGGGAAAAAAAGGACGAGGAACATCTGCTGGTGGTGGGTGGGAGAGTTCTCATAATAAAAACAAAACAAAAAAGAGTGGAAAATGGCTTAAATGTAGGCTAATGGATAGACTGTCTTAGGAACTGATTTATTGTCAGTTCATTGAGTTTAAGTCCAAACTAATCACCCCAAGCAAGTGCATCTCTCACCTTGTGACCTTTTAATTAATAACTGTAACGAAAATTAGCAGACAGCAGAATTTCATTTATTTCGTGTCAGTTTATGGTGGTCTGAACAGGTTGGATTTTGGGACCATGCAGCTCTAGAATTAGGGGGCAATTTGTTAAAGCAATTTCATCTGGAGATTTTTTACAGCATCTACCGCCAACCAGCCCTTAGTTTTTTTTATAGCAGGACACGTATATTGACTTCTCTCGTTCTCCATCTCTCATTCTCCCCTCCTCTTTCCTCCTTTCACCTAGCAGAAATTTCCATCCCACCAAAACCCATTTCCCCAGAAAGTTTAAAAAGATGAAAGGATAAGGAAAAGAAAGGATACAAAAGAGAGAAGTGTTCTGTTACAACCCTGCCCCTGTGAGACTGTCCGTGAAAGAGTCGGGATGAGAGAGATGGGGGAGAGAATAAGAGAAAGAGAGGGGTACAGAAAAGAGGTTTTCAAATGAGGAACGGGGAACCGGTGTGGAACTTCATATTTAACACACACAAACACAGGTGAGCTCACACACACACACACAAATACAAAGCTCAGTGAGGTCTAAAATGTGGTCTGGCTGTCCCCCTCATATCTTTGCTCCTGTCCTCTCCTGACGCTGTTCCTCTCTCTTTGGCATTTAGTGTCATTCAGTCCCAGTCTTTACCTCTTTAGCACTATTCTGTCTCTCTGGTTTTGTCTGAACTTGTTTTGTATGCACTTAGATATTTCAACCCCAGGGCGTATTGGTGAGATTGAAGGAGTGAGAATGAGAGAGAGCCACAGGAACAGAGAATGATTGAGAGCGAGGAGTCACTGAGGTATTGAGCGAGATGACAGGCGAACAAAGGTAGAAAGGGAAAGAAGGGACAAACTCAAACGGAGGTACAAAAGTTCTTTCACACACTCGCACTCAAATGGCTTAACATACACGCACATGCACAGAGAGCTCTGACACCTTATCTTTAAAGGATAAAAATACATTTCTACATATCAGTTAGGCAAACGGTCTCAAGTAGTAGTGTGAACCTGCATTACTTGTTTTTGTGAAAGACCTTTTATTACCCTACACCCCAAACACCTATACAGGGCAACTCATCAAACAAGGACCGCACTGCACGTCACTGACACTGTCATAGATGAGAGCTTCTGATGAAACTGCACGTCTTTCAGATGCCGAAACCGATAAGAGACAATCCTTCTCACCTAATATGACCTTGAGCTTTGCAAAAGACACTCAATAAATGGATGCTTATTATCATTATAGTATCATTGATGTACTATTATAATTGTTATATATTTTCTGTTTTAATTTTTATTTTAAAGTTTTAGTAAAATTGCTGCTCTTCCATAAGTGGCACCTGATGTCAGAGAGTGAAATTGCGCGCTCATTCTGTCCTTCTGCTGTTTTTGTTTTGTGCAGGTGTCTTATGTAGTAGCATAATTTCCCAAATCTAAAGTCAGACCATTCTGTTTTTGCTTTAAATCTTGAAATGATACAATCTAATTCAAATAAAAAACTGCTAGCGCTATATGTATGTAACACTACTGTCTGTTCAAAATAAATGAAAAAAAAAAAAATAAAATAAAATCTGTTGTATTGAACTCGTATCGAACCGTGACCCCAAAACCGAGGTACGTACCGAACTGTGATTACTGCATACCATTACACCCCTAATAATAATAATCATAATATAACAATAACAATAGTAATTAAAAATATTCAAATAATATAATTTTTGTTGTTATATTTTAATCTTATCAAAACCATATTAAAATAATAATAAATAGTTTAATTAAATATATAATATTAATAATAAATGTAAAGAACAAATGTAATATTACTTATTTATTATTTAATCATTTAAATGTTCATATTAATTAATTCTTCTTTCAAACTTTGGAAAAGTTTTTTAGTAATTATTTTACTTGCAGTACATTTTAGTTTTCTTTGTGTCCCTTGCTCATAGTGTGTGTCTCAGATTTATTTCCATGGCAGTGGATATCCCACCTCAAATATCAAAGCAATATCTGTTACATAGCCATTATAGCAATTATTGAAAATAGCGGAGCTGTCAAGGAAACCATGTATGCTGTTCACAGATGCTCTCCTGAAATTGAGGTTAGATTTATGGTCTCAAAGAGGTGTCATTCATTCATTAAATTAATTTTTCCTCTCTGTATCCTCCCTCACGCACATCAGTTTCATCAATCTCCTTCATTACTGTACCTCGTGAACCCAACCGCTCCACCTTACATTACCCCCATTTTCTTCACCCCCAGCACCACCATTACCTCTTTCCTGGTGTTCTCTCTCTCTCTCCTGCTGTGGGCCGCAGCATATGTTTCCAATTTTGGCTGTAATGCACAGTTCACCGCAATCTGACCTAATTAGCCCCTGTCTTGTGGATCCGCCCTCAACAGCACCCACCATGGCAGACAGGCTAGAGGTCAGAAGTCAGGGGTCGTAGGTGGGAGCACGGATTGGATAAGGGGGCAGCGCTTTTGATTGATGTGTCAGGTCCCGCAGCATTATGGGCGTGTTTGTCGGTGACCACCTTAAAAGTGCCACTGCTGTCATTTCTTAAGTATTTGGGATCAGAGAGTGTTACTGAGGCCTGAAATTGGATTTCGCAGTAAGACAAAAGGGTCAAAGAGGGGAGGTCAAGAATACAGGAGTCCCGTTCTTAACACAACACGCAGATTAAAGTACTTAATCCTTAATCTCACACACCTTGAGATGATAGGTACTAGGTATCAGATCCGTGGAATGCCTTGCTACTGGGAAAGAGGAGGGATAGACCAAGGGATTTAAGAGGAGTTTGATTTTAGGAATGTCTTAATTATGGGAACAGAGAACCTAACTCTCTGTTTAATCCTTAATGAGAAACAGCTTCATATGGAACGGAGGGAGGCAGAAGAAATGGTTGAACTTTAAAAGGAATGATAGTGCGCAAGGGAAAGCTAGTCAGCTTTATAAAGCATGTAAAAGTGTGGCTCCACGTTGTGTGTTTGCTGTAAACCGATATGATTACAACTCATACGGAGCCCCTTTTTATAATCTCACCCTCAGCCTCGCTTTACAATCCTCATAACAGCAATAGAGGGAAAGCCATTAACAGAAATACATTCAACAAGCAACTTGCATGAAATATTCCACTGATTTGAGTATGGAAATGCGGCTACCAGTCTTAATGGGTCTTGGTTGAGCACAGTGTGGTGGACCGCTGTCGCCGCAGGCATCCAATGGGCTCTTATGGCATCTTAAGGACTTTATGTTTTACTCCTTGAGCTTATCTTCACTTCACAAGTAGTGTCCTTGAGAAGATAAGCATAGACTGTGATTGTCTTTGAGGCAGACCTTGTTTTTTTTGGGTAAAAACTTTTAAAACTTTCTACAAAGTAAAACCGAATGAATTATATATAAGCGTGCAATAATTTATAACAGTTTAAAAGGCCATAGAAACATGAATCCACACTTCAAGATGAGTTTTCTGTGTTGTTCTTGTTATTCTTGAAATTAATTTAGAATGAATTAAAAGTACATGAACATAGTAAAGCACGGCAGTAGTAATGCCAAGGTCATCGGTTTGATTCCCAGGAAAGTGTGAACTGATAAAATGTATATTTTGTACGCAAAGTAATGGTGCATTCTAACATTAAATTACCAAAAAAACTTTTTGACAAACACTTATCCAATTCATCTAACGTTGCATACAATTGATCATTTCTTGCATTTCCTGGGAATTAAAACAATGATCTCGTGGTGTTAGTATCATGCGTGCAGCGTGACTGTTTGTGAGATGATAGCTGAAGGTATGACTACCCAGATAGCATGCGGAGGTGGGCCACTTAAGGCAATGATATGGCACTGCTGGCCTTCTTATGGCCCGGACAAAATGAATGTAAGCCTGAAGTGGCCCATATGTAAAACAGCAAAAATGGCCCAAATGTATCAAATCACATGTGGGCCTCTGTAGGTAAAGATGCGGTGTTGACGGCAATGTGTAATCTGAATGTGACCCTAAAGTGGCCCATGTGGTAAACAGTGATTATGGCCCAAATAGTCCCAACCAAATGTGGGCCACCTTTGGCAAAAATGTGGCATTATCGACAAAGGTCAGGGTGTAAACCAAATGTGGTCCACATATGATTCAGCAAATGTGGCCCAGGTACATTAAAACGTATCTGGGCCTGTTTTGGCAAAGATATGGCACAGTGAGCATTGGCTAATGTAGCTGTGAGCCTAAAGTGGCCCGCATATGATGCCACAAATGTGGCCCAGTTATCCTAAAGCATATCTGGGCCAGTTTTGGCAAAGATATGGCACGGTAAGCACTGGCTAATGTGACTGTGAGCCTAAAGTGGCCCGCATATGATGCCGTGGCCCGCATATAAAATTACAAATATTGCCCAAATAATTAATAGCAATTTGGGCCACTTTTGGCAAATATACGGCACAGTCAGCATTGGCT